ATGAGCTTGACCGTGAGGGAGAGTGTTGAATGTTGAGCAACCAAAGGGTGTGGTCTACCATAGAAAGAAGAGAGGGAAGACGCAGGGGAATATAGGTTAGGCAGGAGGTTAGAGTTTGTTATAAGGGGGACAGGTGGTTTGTGAGGAGTGGAGAAATGAGAATTCTGTTAGAATCAAAAGGTGTCAGGAGAGAACAAAAAGGGCGAGAGAGAAGCATTCAGAACATTTAAGCCATTTTGGACGGGAGGCTGCTGACCCTCGAAGTCGGTAATTGTAAAGGCTGCTGACCCTCGAAGTCAGTCTTGCATTTACCATTTTTCTTATGTACTTGTTATTTGATCTCTGTCATATGCCATTTGAGTACTGCTAGGACATTACTATGGAATGAATACTCTCTGGATGTAATGTATTGTTTGATTGGTAATATAACAGGATATTTGTCATTTGAGTGTGTGTGTTGGTTGTGTTGTGGATGGATTGTTGGACTGTTTGTGGATTTGCAGGTCAGGTGTTCATCAAAGTCCCACACTGACTAGGCACACTCAAGCTTACTGGTTTATAAGAGGGGGTAATCCTCCCATTCAATAAGGCCTTATTGGGTGAGGAGTCAGGCCCACCTCAAATTCTATCAGATCTTAACATAGATGCAAGAGCTCATGCTTTTAAAGGATGAGAAAAAGCTTCATTTAACAGGTATAAAGTCTTTTCTTTATAAAAGAAAACAAACCAATTAGAACACAAAGATCAATAACATCAGAAAAGAAGTCAAGGACTTCCATACCTCCTCCAGATTTCTTTGGTATAGATCTGTTCGGTAATATGCCGTTGACATCAACAAATTTGGGTTGTAAGAAGTGAAAAGACTGCATAATAACCATCAGAGCAAATGATGCAGATCTTAGTTTGAAGAATTATAATGACTCAAAGATGTGCTATACAATAGATGCACTACAATCCAAGCACAAGGAAACAGTACTCATAAATGAACCAAAAGGATGCGTGGACACTACATACTGAACATATCATACTCTTAGCGACGCAATTGGTATAAAGTCCAACTTTAATGTACCTGCTCAATGAGGCATTGTCATACATATTCAGCTTCTCAAAGAAAGCAAGGGTATAGTATGTAAAACGATCCACAACAGAAACCCCAACCTGCATAATAAGAAGAGACATTGAATGTAATACCCGAAAGCCTATAAGTTAAACAAGAATATGATAGTTTCAAAAGCTAGCATCCTGGATCTTCATATTTACGGCGTTGATAAAACAAAAAACGCTATCAATTTTACACTTACATCGGAGTCCAAGTGATGTGAGTATGAGTTCTCCCCTTTCTTGCTACTTCCAATAGCCAAAACACCTGGAGAATGAAGCTGTACAATCCAGGAAAAAGAAAAAGTCCATCCAGCATCAAAATACATAAAGCAGATGTTGAAAGTCTCAATGCAAGGTTGAAGACTTAGAATGCCATGTTCATAGGTCAAGCTTAATCAGAAGTGCATCAGTAAAATTCAAAATATGGATTGTCGTGACCCGACCATACGAACAAAGATGCATCTCTTGAAAGTAGAAATGCACAAACAACTGTGAAAAGAAATGACACTAAATAGATGTCCTAGTATATATATAGATTTTCTGGAAAAACTTGAAGGTATTGTGCAGCATGCAGACCTTGGTTTGACTGGCATACCAATAAACATTAATCACAGCATGGGACATAGATTGTACATACATATAACTATTACAGAAGGGAAACTAAACATTTAAGGAAACATCTATACACTGGACAACTATGAAATGTGATTCTAGAATAATCATGGCTAAATCAACCCTACAAAAATAAATAAGATATTATATGCATTAAGATTTTTTCTTCTTAGTACCATATGCCTATTCATCTAGATAAACGGGTAAACATCATTCCCCCAAAAAAGTAATGTATAACTATGACTAGATAATAAATATTGTGAATTTTATGAAAACCATACCCCATTATTAGAAACATAATATACGTTTTAGTAACTTTGTTGATTATCCGTGATACACGTACATCTCGTTTAGTCCCTTCGAGGTCAATTGGGTATCTATGTTGATACGAATTAAGCATTAACAATTCATATAAAAAAACTTTAATTAACAATACATAGATATCAAGGATGTCACGAATTATAAGTTAGATATCTATAATATATGTATATACAGTATATTATTTTTTTAATAGCAGATTTTATTATGACGCATATAATATACACAAAAAACTATTCAGTTATTCCCTTTTGTTAATGCTTTCTTTTCCATATGCCCAAAGTGTGGTAGTGGTATTGGCATACAACAAAAAATAAAAAATAAAAAAAAGTAATTAATAAGTAAAATAATGTAAATTAAATCCAAAAGTGAACAAACTTTTGAATATTCACTAAATAAAATATTATAATTTAAACATGAAAACTGTACACTTTGTGAAATGAACAAGAGTGACAGTTATTTCGGTTTAGAAGAGGGAAACCGCCCCTTTTCTCTTTTATAAATCTTTACAATATGATTCTTTTTCATTTTTTTTTTTTCTGTAAAATCTTTGCGAGTGAATGATGAAGGAAGTCCACTCAGAAAAAAACAATGTTATTGCAGGTAAAATAAGGGAAAAAAATGTTTTGTCATTGGCACTATTCATTTGCTTTTTAAAGATTGTGATTTCATGGATAGTTCTTTTGAAGATTGAAAATGTTGGTGTGATTGCAGTTGGAGTTGATGAAAGCCTCTTCATGCTTTGGCTGTGGCATTGGCTGGTTTCGTGAGTTTCAGATCATTTCCAGTTTTTTGTAATCTTTTCTTGCAGTTGTTTTTTTTTTTTTTTTTGAGAGTTTGAATCTTGCAACAGGTTTCGTTGGGGTTTGATTTCCTCCATTATGGTATATGCCACTGTTTTTACTTGGGGAAGTATTATCTCAAAGATCCAAGAGAGCGATCGGCCTTGCGGCATCAGCAATTGCTGTAAGCAGATTCTTTTCATTCGGGTGTAGTTTTACACTTTACTTTAAATTGCAGAACTTGACATTGAATCAGAATTTGCATTTTCTTGTCATTGTACATATTCTTGTTCATAATTTGTGATCCGGCCGGAGTGTCAGGTGATATTCTATCTTACAAGTTCCATGCATCTTGTTTTTCCAGCAATACAGTTTGATCCTATTGTTCTTCAATTATTGTAGGCTTTGATTTGCTCTGTTGCGCCTCTGGTTGTTCTTCTTGTTGTGTTCTTGTAGCAAACTTTCAGTGCCGTCGTCGGAGTTTTTGGTTCAAACATGAGATGAACGCGCTTCTAAATTATAAAATTACAAGATTGTGGACATCCTTCCTGTAACAAAATTCTCAGTTTTACTGCAAATTTGTGAAGTTTATTTATTGATAAGAAACAAAGTAGGCCAGAGCTAGGATCAAATGCATTTAACATAAATGTATTCATATCTTCTTGTTTGAGTCAACAATCATTTCATAAAATTTGATGAAAGAGAAACATATACAGAGAAAACCTCATGCCTACAACACATCATAAGTACAACATTTGGGATACTTGTTCCTTCAGTAAATCAATGCTTTATCAGAATCAACATCTTGTTTTCGCATTACAGTGCACAGGATCTTTGACTTCCTCCTCGGTGCCTGTGCCTGTGCCTGTGCTCCCCGTCCTAGTCTCTTTTGCAGTGCCATGTTATTGAATTCTTAAGTTCGTCTAGCTGCAACAGAACATAGTCAGGCAGAGAGAAAATGATGTTTGTTTTCTTTTTTGGAGAATCACAAACAATAAATTCAAGTAATTCTCTAGGTGAAGTGTGCTATGAAATATCAACAGGTAGATTCAAATACATACTTGAGACATTTTAGGAAAAATTTAAAAGAATAAAACTACATGTAATGAGAATGGCATTGAGAAGCAAGATGAGATGATATGGTCTCCTAGCCAACAATCTCTTTATTTGGGAATCTCAGACATAATCTAATAGTAATTTATTACACTTGAACAAAGTCAACATTGTTCCGCTGTGTAGTTACAGAAATCTGTTCAACACATTTCTTCTTGCCCTTGTCATGACACAAAAGCTGATACTATATCTATGAAATGGATGGATTTGGGTGATCATTGTTGAAAAATATCTGATTTTGGACTGCGATTTCCTGTACACAACAAAAAGACAGATATGCAGAAATTGATTTGATACAAGATCTCCTGTTCTACTGAAATTTACTAAAACTATAGAAGGTAAACAGTGAGTGGTTTAGGTGATTGGAAAGTTTCCGTAAATGACTGAATAATGATCATGAAAAAAGCTGTAGTTCTACTAAAGTGAACTTGCATGAGAGTTTAAAGGAGAATTTGTCAAATATTGTGAAAGAATATCGGGCAAAACATATTGGACAGCCAAGAGAAGCACTACAATGATCTGCTTCCGCAAATAATCAACAAATATTAGATAGGCAGCCAGAGTGAATTTTATGTATTGGGGAGGATGTAGGCAAGGGCTGGTCCAATGTTAACTTATGGATGAGGACCTGACGATAATCACAGAGAGAAAGGGATCAAGGTGGTAAGATTTCACAATGTCATATCCAATTAGAAAATGGAAATGCAAGGTCCTTTATTGGGACAAAATTCTTACTAAGCTTGGACAAGAAACAGTGGATATGTTCTTCCCCAGCTTAAACATAATAAGAACAATGTGACTCATTTATAGACCATGTAAAGCACAAAAATTACATCAAATTAGACAAAAAAAATTTCCTCAATGACAAACATTCTATTCCGAAAACAGATAAACAAAATTTTTTAATTAGAGAAAAAGAAAAAAAGTAGTTTCATCCAATCTAAAACATCAATCCTCAGAATCTTAAGTAACCTTAAACCACAGACACATTAGCGTTGCTAATATTAAAGCAAAATGTGGACAGATCAAAAAATGAGATGGCACCCTTTGCAAGTTCTTGATGTGCAGCCAAAAGATCATTATATTTCATCTGCAAATCTGACAATTCAGCTTGTAGCTTTTCATAATCAGATACACTAGGACCTCCTAATTTTTGTTGAATAAACCTGCCGACCATAAACACAAAATTCACAACTTTTCAGAAAATTACACAACCCCATTTCAAAGAACAAAAAAGAAAAACATCAACTTACTCGAGGGCAGAAGAAGGCTTGTCATTTTGCTCATACAATGCCACCAGAACTACAACAAAAACTTAAAACTTCACTCCACAAAAAAAAAAAAAATAAAAAAAAAAAAAAAAATGTGAGCAAGTACCTTTTGTAAGAGCATCAAGAACTCCACTGGAACTAATATACTTCTAAAAGCTTCCTTCTTTGCTTTTTTCCTGTAAAACATCAACTGGGTGATGAAGATATAACGAATTTAAGCCAGATTTTTTCAGAAGTTAGGATGGATCAGCTACAGTAATTACACAGTTTAAAATTTTGCAAAAAAGTTTTGAAATTTACTCTTTGTAACGCATCATGATCTGCGTTAAATTTTCTTCCCCTTCTTTTGCTCTTGATGAAAACGATAAAAGAAACAAAAAGGGAAGCCAACCCACCATGACATGATAGACCTGTCACCTACTTACTACAGGTGCAGAGCCATATCTCGATTTTCCGCATCAACACAGGACTTGCTTTTGGGCCTAGGCCCAGAGTCGAATCCGACCCAACTAGGTGAAAAATAATAATATATATATATATATAATATATATATATTTACAATAATGTTGAATGATTTTTTAGATCAGAGTGTGTTTTTCTTCCTTTCGATGAGAAAGTTAATATATAAATTGGATTTCATCTCACTCACATTTAACACAAATTTTACGGTTTTTTATAAGAAAAATATGGATGAGGGTATTGTTAACCCCAAGTGGTTGGCCAGTCTTGAGTTCCTAGGTTTAGATAATAACGTTATAATTTATATGGTTCTTTGGCTTCGTAATATGTTCAAGGATTTCAAAGATTAGTTAAAATACGCGTAACTAATTCAAAACTTTGTTTACACAACACACACAACGCGCGCACGAGGGACAGAATTTCCAAGTTAAAAATTAGTGTGACATTTCTTAATCCACACACACACACACACACACACAAAACACACACACACACGAGGGACTAGATTTCCAAGTTAAAAAATTAGTGTGACAACATTTCTAATTTTTAGTTTCAGTATCTACAACGATATGGAATTTGGCTTTAATGTTCTTGCATCATTTAAATTCTTTAGTTTAGTGATAGAATGCCTGGATGCATAGATAGAACCCATAGATATTCAATGTACGGATGGACAAAAATACCTGTAACCGAACTGAGTTGAACCGAATTTTTCAGTACCCCAAAAACAGGTTGGATTCGGGTAGTATTTAGTAGGTACCGGTTTTGGTTCGAATACCGGGTTATATTAAAATATACTCGGGTACCCAAAACCTGGTTTTTTTTTTTTTTTTTTTAAGTAAAAGTAAAATCTCAAATCAATTTGCCCTAAACCCAATAACCCTTCTTTCTGTTTTTCTTTCTCTTTACATTTCTCCAGTCACAACTTCCCATATTCTCTTCATTTATCATTTTCTCTCCACTAATCTCTTGTTTCTCTATTCTCTCCACTAGTCCACTGATTTCACTCGCATCTTCTTCTTCATTTCTCCATTTAGCTTGCAATCAGTTCTGTTTCTCTCCAGCCTCACTGATTTTGCTTGCATCAATTCTTTATTTCTCCATTTTCTCCAATTACAAAAGGTATTCGATAATTGTCTATGGACTCTTTTATTGTGAAGAATATTTCTATATTTTTTGCTCAATTGATCACCTAACTTTACGATATGTATGTTGTTTTTGTCTTTTTGATGGTTTTGGTAGAGAAATTTTTGTTTGGAAGCAATATTACAAGAAATTCGGGTTTTACATTTGGGTACTCGGTAATTGAACTGAAATTTTGGGTACCCACGTATTCGGGTATTGCAATAAACGGCTCGATTACCAAGTACTATTTTACATATCGAATATTTGGGTCGGTAGAAAAGGACACAGTCGGGTAGTGTACCCGATTTTGTCTCCCTAATTCATTGTGCACATCAACGCCCACCCTGAGATTTGGATCATCAAAGGCACAAAACGTCCATACCGTGTCTGCTTTTAATTATTCAATTGGATTCCAATTCTAAATTTTGCACTGCGTTAGTAATCTAAAGAAGCTCAAATGGCTTCATCATCACCTTCAGATGTGGAAAACAATATAATTTCATTTGCATCTATATGACATCCCACCGAACCCACCTTAGTCTCTCAGAGGACCAAAAGCTACACATCAAGTATGGCAATGGATTTCAATTTAACTGAGATCCAAAGAAGCCATGTGTACAGTATGTTAAGTTCACTTGAAAATGAATATATAAACCTTAAACACACTCCAAAACATAAAAACAAATAAGATTTCGGGAAAAAGATTTCTTTCTCTAGTTTATAGAATTGTGAACAAGGACAGTTAATATTTGGTACAAAAGAATAAATGAGAAAATTTAGGGTGAGAAGTTCTGCACATACAGGGTCACAGCTAAACTGCAGCATCTTGCAGATGAAAACACGTATGCTGTCAAGGATGTGAACTAGAGTTATCGTGATAGCCACGTGGAGATCAACAATAGTGGAAGCATTATTAGCAAGCCATAGCTCACCAAGGAATCAATATTTTCAATCTTCTCCATCTTTTTATTGAAAGAATTCCATGTACTCGTAAAAGGACATTGTTGAGCCTGCATCCATTTCCACCTATTGATTAGCATTGTACATAAGAAGGTAAACGAATAGCTCTAAATAAAAATATTGAAATATCACCTCTGTTTTGTGTCACTAGTTTGATCCTGGACATTTGAGTTTTGCAATGATCTCCGCTCATGATGGTCGACTGGTTCTTCTGAAGGCATTTTTATTTTGACCTTTTCAAGAGGTTTTCTTTGAGAGGATTTTGTATGCATAATCAGTATGTATTGTTTCCATGACTGAACCAAAGAAGTTTGTAACAGGTAACTAGAGAGAGGAACAGAGGCACATAAATACTTTGGTTATTTCAATCTGCTGAAAAGTCTTCGAAGAAAGATCTAACTACACTAATGACATGAGGAGTAAAACCTTGCCCAGAATTTCCTGCATCCAATAATTTAAAAGAGCAACAGTAAGTTTCTAAGTTATACCTCAACCTCAATAGGAAATACTGAAGCCCAAACCCTATTTGAACTATACAACATATAATAAAAAATACACCATTTTACATTGGCAAAGTAATGATATTGCAATACTATAACGCAGAGTAAAAGAAAAATATACAAAACAAAATATTCTCGAAAGTGAAACAATAAGTGCTAGATCATATGGTTAGTCAAACATTAATAAGAGGGGCCCTGAATTGTTCTCTCCCAGTAAATGAAGAAAAGGAGAAAAGAACTGTGACATAAACCAACTTCGCAGGTTGCTAGACATTCCCAAATCCACCACCTTAAAATGTATACAGAAAGGCTAATAACAATCAGCATGGTAGCATACTAACATGCAAAGAAATTAATTCAAAACCACTCAACCAGCATTATGTTACAGCTAGAGACAGAAACAGTGACAAACATATCGCCATGCATTAAACGCTAACTAGAATCAATATAATAACCTGTAATGGCATTTATAGCATGCTTCTCAGTTAGCATTATGGTTCACAGCAAACGATATAAAGACTCAAAAGTATAACATCCTTAATCAATCTAAGAAGAAAAATTTTAAAACCCTTTCCAATTCAAAAAAGAGAAACTGAAGCTTGGCTAACCATGAAAAAACAAAAAATGTACAAAAACAAAAAGCTTTTGTAACCACCAACATGGGTAAATTCATGCACAAATTTTGTACACATCAAATCTTGGAATCAGGAGCAAACCACAGTCAGAAGAACTCAGAACAATTCCTCAGCATTTCAAGGAATTTAGCAATTTGACCCACTAAACTCAATGTACTAGGAGATTAAGCATTGAAAAGCCCTAAAAAGGTAGAATTAAAAAACACCAACAAATTCAACGCGTACAAAGAAAAAAAAAAATCTCAGAAACGCACTCAAACGTCTATGTTTTCACAGTGACACCCACTACACTAAAGCAAACACACCACTGGTAAATAATTTAAAACAACCATCCAAATTCACAATATTCCCAAGAAAAATAAAATATTTTAGAGAAACCCACAAAGATCAGACTAACCCAGATTGCAAAAACACCCCAATTAACAAGTAGAGTAGCGTGAAACATGAAATTTTCAGAAAAACCACCGAAATTAACAGGCATATCAAAAAAGACTATAAAGTTGTAAACTTTACGAAAACACCCACCAAAACCGACAAGCTGAGACTTCTTAGAGAACGGAGACGAAGAGTTGGAACCCAACAGGCCTTCTTGTTGTTGTTGCTCTCTCTTCTCTTTGGAGTTAGAAGCCGACGCTGTTTTCTTGGCCGCTAAGGCCTGCTCCGGCGTCCCGTACTTTCTGGGTCTTCCACGCTTCCTCTTCGCCGGCTCCAGCGGGGAGGTCACGGCGGAAGACGCGACGGAGTGAGGGTACACCATTGGATTGTGTTGGTGGTGGTGGGACCCAGCGCCGTCGTCGTTGTTGGTGGAGTGAGGAGGTGGAGGAAGCAGGCCATTAGTGGGCGAGGGAGTGGGGGCAGTGGCCGAGGTGGTTGTGGGGGAGGGGAGGTGGTGATGGTGGTGGTGGTGGTGGTAGTAGGAGCTGAGTTGTGGTAGTTGTTGCGCGTCGTTAGGTTCCATTTTTGTTTTAGATAGAGATTTAGAGTTTAGAGAGAGAGAGAGAAGAGAGAGAATTTTTTTTATTTTTTTTATTTTTTTTTTATTTTGAAATGAATGTTTGGGTTGGGCTTTTATTTTCATTTTTTATTTCATTAATTAGAGGTGGGAGATTCTCAGCCGTTGGATTGCTGTTTCTCTTCGTGATTCACTATGGTTGTTGACTTTTACCTTTTTTTTTTTAATTTATTCCAGATTTTTTTCTTATCAATCTCAGTTAGTATATAGCAATTAAAGTTAAGATAAAATAAAATAATAAATTAAAATAGATGATGTGGCAAGCTTTAATAATTATTAAAACCATAAATTATTTTCACGCCAATATCATATTATATTATTATTACATTTAGATTAAATAAAACATAGAAGAAGACTTACATATATAACATTATTCATATTGATCCGATAATTTGTACCAAACAGAGATATCCAATCAATCCCAAAATAGATCAAACAAAATATGTGCGTGGTTATGGGTAACTAACAAGATCACTAAAAGGATGTGACAAAGTAAAGAACAAGAATGATTCCAATAGCAATAAAGTTCAAGAGATAAATATATTAATCTTTTTAGAGAGAGTTTAGAAAGAATAGATCATGAAAGCTAAACTCGTTTCATTAGTCTCACGATTATTCCTTTGCAATCTTATTTGACCCTTTAACACCCCCCAATAATTAATAACATGACAGTGAATATAAGTTTGGTTTTCATAACCGTTAAACCACTATAAAATATCTCTTGTTTTTTACTTTATTATATCGTTTTAGTAACTTTGTTGATTATCCGTGATCACACGTACATCTCGTTTAGTCCCTTCCGAGGTCAATTGGGTATCTATGATTGATACGAATTATAGCATTAACAATTCATATAAAAAAACCTTTAATTAACAATACATAGATATCAAGGAATGTCACGAATTATAAGTTAGTATATCTTATAATATATGTATATACAGTATATTATTTTTTTAATAGCATATTTTATTATGACGCATTTAATATAAATATACACAAAAAACTATTCAGTTATTCTCCTTTTGTTAATGCTTTCTTTTCCATATGCCCAAGTGTGGGTAGTGGTATTGGCATACAACAAAGTAAAAAAATAAAAAATAAAAAAAAGGTATTTAATAAGTAAAATAATGTAAATTAAATCCAAAAGTGAACAAACTTTTGAATATTCACTAAATAAAATATTTATAATTTAAACATGAAAACTGCTACACTTTGTGAAATGAACAAGAGTGACAGTTATTTCGGTTTAGAAGAGGGAAACCGCTCCTTTTCTCTTTTATAAATCTTTACAAGATGATTCTTTTTCATTTTTTTTTTTTTTTTCTGTATAAATATTTGCAAGTGAATGATGAAGGAAGTCCACTCAGAAAAAAACAATGTTATTGCAGGTAAAATAAGGGAAAAAAATGTTTTGTCATTTGCCACTATTCATTTGCTTTTTAAAGATTGTGATTTCATGGATAGTTCTTTTGAAGATTGAAAATGTTGGTGTGATTGCAGTTGGAGTTGATGAAAAGCCTCTTTCATGCTTTGGCTGTGGCATTGGCTGGTTTTCGTGAGTTTCAGATCATTTCCAGTTTTTTGTAATCTTTTTCTTGCAGTTTTTTTTTTTCTTTTTTTTTTTTGAGAGTTTGAATCTTGCAACAGGTTTCTGTTGGGGTTTGTATTTCCTCCATTATGGTATTATGCCACTGTTCTTTACTTGGGGAAGTATTATCTCAAAGATCCAAGAGAGCGATCTGGCCTTGCGGCATCAGCAATTGCTGTAAGCAGATTCTTTTCATTCCTGGGTGTAGTTTTACACTTTTCTTTAAATTGCAGAACTTGACATTGAATCAGAATTTGCATTTTCTTGTCATTGTACATATTCTTGTTCATAATTTTGTGATCCGGCCGGAGTGTCATGTTTGATATTCTATCTTACAAGTTCCATGCATCTTGTTTTTCCAGTAATACAGTTTGATCCTATTGTTCTTCAATTATCTTGTAGGCTTTGATTTGCTCTGTTGCGCTCTTGGTTGTTCTTCTTGTTGTGTTCTTGTAGCAAACTTCTCAGTGCCGTCGTCGAGTATTTTGGTTCAACCATGAGATGAAGGCGCTTCTAAATTATAAAATTACAAGATTTGTGACATCCTTCCTGTAACAAAATTCTCAGTTGTTTTACTGCAAAATTTGTGAAGTTTATTTATTGATAAGAAACAAAGTAGGCCAGAGCTAGGATCAAATGCATTTAACATAAATGTATTCATATCTTCTTTGTTTGAGATCAACAATCATTTCATAAAATTTGATGAAAGAGAACAATATACAGAAGAAACCTCATGCCTACAACACATCATAAGTACAACACTTTGGGATACTTGTTCCTTTCAGTAAATCAATGCTCTTATCAGAATCAACATCTTGCTTTAGCATTACAGTGCATGAGTGCACAGGATCTTTAGACTTCCTCCTTCGGTGCCTGTGCCTGTGCCTGTGCTTCCCCGTCCATAGTCTCTTTTGCAGATGCCATGTTATTTGAATTCTTAAGTTCGTCTAGCTGCAAAAGAACATAGTCAGGCAGAGAAAATGATGTTTGTTTTCTTTTTTGGAGAATCACAAACAATAAATTCAAGTAATTACTCTAAGTGAAGTATACTTGTGAAATATCAACAGGTAGATTCAACTACTACTTGAGACATTTTAGGAAAAATTTAAAAGAATAAAACTACATGTAATGAGACATGGCATTGAGAAGACAAGATTGAGATGATATGGTCTCCTGCAGCAACAATCTCTTTATTTGGGAATCTCAGACATAATCTAATAGTAATTTATTACACTTGAACAAAGTCAACATTGTTCCGCTGTGATAGTTACAGAAATCTGTTGCAACCATTTCTTCTTGCCATTGTCATGACACAATAAAGCCAATACTATATCTATGAAATGGATAATGAATTTGGGATGATCATTGTTGAAAAATATCTGATATTTTGGACTGTGATTTCCTTGTACACGACAAAAAGACAGATATGCAGAAATACTGATTCTGATACAAGATCTCCTCTGTTCTACTGAAATTTACTAAAACTATAGAAGGTAAACAGTGAAGTGGTTTTAGGTGATTGGAAAGTTTCCGTAAATGACTGAATAATGATCATGAAAAAAGCTGTAGTTCTACTAAAGTGAACTGTGCATGAGAGTTTAAAGGAGAATTTGTCAAATATTGTGAAAGAATATCGGGCAAAACATATTGGACAGCCAGAAGAAGCCTACTACAATGATCTGCTTCCGCAAATAATCAACAAATATTAGATAGGCAGCCAGAGTGAATTTTTATGTATTGGGGAGGATGTAGGCCAAGGGCTGGTCCAATGTTAACTTATGGATGAGGACCTGACGATAATCACCAGAGAGAAAGGGATCAAGGTGGTAAGATTTCACAATGTCATATCCAATTAGAAAATGGAAATGCAAGGTCCTTTATTGGGACAAAATTCTTACTAAGCTTGGGACAAGAAACAGTGGATATGTTCTTCCCCAGCTTAAACATAATAAGAACAATGTGACTCATTTCATAGACCATGTAAAGCACAAAATTTACATCAAAATTAGACAAAAATTTTCCTCAAATGACAAACATTCTATTCCGAAAACAGATAAACAAAATTTTTTAAATTAGAGAAAAAGAAAAAAAGTAGTTTCATCCAATCTAAAACATCAATCCTCAGAATCTTAAGTAACCTTAAACCACAGACACATTAGCGTTGCTAATATTAAAAGCAAAATGTGGACAGATCAAAAAATGAGATGGCACCTCTTTGCAAGTTTCTTGATGTGCAGCCAAAAGATCATTATATTTCATCTGCAAATCTGACAATTCAGCTTGTAGCTTTTCATAATCAGATACACTAGGACCTCCTAATTTTTGTTGAATAAACCTGCCGACCATAAACACAAATATTCACAACTTTTCAGAAAATTACACAACCCCATTTCAAAGAACAAAAAAGAAAAACATCAACTTACTCGAGGGCAGAAGAAGGCTTGTCATTTTGCTCATACAATGCCACCAGAACTACAACAAAAACTTAAAACTTCACTCCACAAGAAAAAAAAAAATTAAAAAAAAAAAAATTGAATGTGAGCAAGTACCTTTGTAAGAGCATCAAGAACTCCACTGGAATCTAATACTTCTAAAAGCTTCCTTCTTTGCTTCTTTTTCCTGTAAAACATCAACTGGGTGATGAAGATATAACGAATTTAAGCCAGATTTTCAGAAGTTATGGATGGATCAGCTACAGTAATTACACAGTTTAAAATTTTGAGAAAAGTTTTGAAATTTACCTCTTTGTAACGCATCATGATCTGCGTTAAATTTCTTCCCCTTCTTTGCTCTTGATGAAAACGATAAAAGAACAACAAGGGAAGCCAACCCACCATGACATGATAGACCTGTCACCTACTCGACTACAGGTTCAGAGCCCATCTCTCGATTTCCGCATCAACCCAGGACTTGCTTTTGAGCCTAGGCCCAGTCGAATCCGACCCAACTAGGTGAATAAATAATAATTAATATATATTTACAATAATGTTGAATGATTTTTTAGATCAGTGTGTGTTTTTCTTTCCTTTAGATGAGAAAGTTAATATATAATTGTGATTTCATCTCACTCACATTTAACACAAATTTTACGGTTTTTTATAAGAAAATATGGATGAGAGTATTGTATTAACCTCAAGTGTTGGGCCTAGTCTTGAGTTCCTAGGTGCTCCGGATAATAATTATAATTTATATGGTTCTTTGCACTTATAAGGTTTAAATGGACTTCGGAGATTAGTTAAAATACGCGTAATTTAATTTAGACACCTCTTTGCCAAAATATATAAATATATATGGATAAGGGACTATGAATTTCCAAGTTAAATAATTAGTGTGACAACATTTCTTAATTTTTAGTTTGAGTATCTACAACGATATTGGAATTTGGCTTAATGTTCTTGCATCGTTAATTCTTAGTTTAGTGATAGATTACCTGGATGCCTAGATAAAACCACATAGTTAATTCTGTACATGGACAAAAATACCCTAAACCCGAACCAAATTTTTGAGTACACCAGGTTAGATTCGGGTAGTATTTAAGTAGGTACTCGATTTTTCAATTTAGTACCGGGTTATATTTAAAATATAATCTGGGTACCTCGCAAAAACCTGAGTTTTTTTTTTTTTTTTTTAAAGTAAAAAGTAAAATCTCAAATCAATTTGCCCTAAACCCAGATAACCTTCTTCTTCGTTTTTCGTTTCTCCCTTTCTCTACATTTCTCCAGTCACAACTTCCCATATTCTTCTTCATTTATCATTTTCTCTCCACTAATCTCTTTGTTTCTCTATTCTCTCCACTAGTCCACTGATTTCACTCGCATCTTCTTCTTCATTTCTCCATTTAGCTTGCATCAGTTCTGTTTCTCTCCAGCCTCCACTGATTTTGCTTGCATCAATTCTTTATTTCTCCATTTCTCCAATTCACAAAAGGTATTCGATAATTGTCTACATTGGACTCTTTTTATTGTGAAGAATTATTTCTATACTTTTTTGCTCAATTGATTCACTAACTTTACGATATTGTATGTTGTTTTTGTCTTTTTGATGGTTTTGGTAGAGAAATTTTTGTTTGGAAGCAATATTACAAGAAATTCGGGTTTTACATTTGGGTACTCGGTAATTGAACTGAAATTTTGGGTACCCACGTATTCGGGTATTGCATAAACCGGCTCGATTACCAGATACTATTTTACATATCCGAATATTTGGGTCAGGTAGTAAAAGGCACATTCGGGTCGTGTACCCGATTTTGTCATCCCCTAATTCATTGTGCACATCAACGCCCACCCTGAGATTTGGATCATCAAAGGCACAATAACGTCCATACCGTTGTCCTGCTTTTAATTATTTCAATTGGATTCCAATTCTCAAATTTTGCACTGCGTTAAGTAATCTAAAGAAGCTCAAATGGCTTCATCATCAATTCTTTCAGATGTGGAAAAACAATATAATTTCATTTGCATCTATTTGACATCCCACCGAACCCACCATTAGTCTCATCAGAGGACCAAAAGCTACACATTAAGTATGGCAATGGATTTCAATTTAACTGAGATCCAAAGAAGCCATGTGCAGTATGTTAAGTTCACTTGAAAATGAATATATAAACCTTAAACACACTCCAACTACATAAAAAACAAATAAAGATTTCGGGAAAAAGATTTCTTTCTCTAGTTTATAGAATTGTGAACAAGGACAGTTAATATTTGGTACAAAAGAATAAATGAGAAAATTTAGGGTGAGAAGTTCTGCACATACAGGGTCACGGCTAAACTGCAGCATCTTGCAGATGAAAACACGTATGCTGTCAAGGACGTGAACTAGAGTTACCGTGATAGCCACGTGGAGATCAACAATAGTGGAAGCATTATTAGCAAGCCATAGCTCACCAAGGAATCAATATTTTCAATCTTCTCCATCTTTTTATTGAAAGAATTCCATGTACTCGTAAAAGGACATTGTTGAGCCTGCATCCATGTCCCACTTATTGTTAGCATTGTACATAAGAATGTAAACGAATAGCTCTAAATAAAAATATGAAAATGTCACCTCTGTTTTTGTGTCACTAGTTTGATCCTGGACATTTGAGTTTTGCAATGATCTCTGCTCATTGTGGTCGACTGGTTCTTCTGAAGGCATTTTTATTTTGACCTTTTCAAAGGTTTTCTTTGAGAGGATTTTGTATGCATAATCAGTATGTATTGTTTCCATGACTGAACCAAAGAAGTTTGTAACAGGTACCTAGAGAGAGGAACAGAGGCACATAAATATTTTTGGGTTATTTCAATCTGCTGAAAAGTCTTCGAAGAAAGATCTAGCATTGCTTCAATCTTAGAGAAATGATCTCAGGTAAAGAAATATTCACCACAAAAAGGGCCTAGAGGTTTCTTATATATAATGCAAAGTGGTAACCCTCCCTTTGCCAGATTTAAGCATAAAATGCACTTAGTCCTCTTGCATCATTCAGGCGAGGAACGATTGTACTAAAGACAGTTTGCGAACACCAGAAAGGCCTTGTAACATGAAACATATGAAATAACATCTATGCAGTGTTTGATCTTATTGAAGTCCCACACTGACTAGGCACACTTAAGCTTACTGGTTTATAGGAAGGGGTAATCCTATCATTCAATAAGGCTTTATTGGGTGAGGAGCCAGGCCCACTTCAAATTCTATCATGGTATCAAAGCCCAGATTCAGTTGAGCTGAGTGTTTGACCAGTGAGTGAGAAGTTAGAGCCGATAATTACCTCCAATAACAGGTATGACCCAACATATGGGCTTGACCGTGAGGGGGAGTGTTGAAGTCCCACACTGACTAGGCACACTCAAGCTTACTAGTTTATAAGAGGGAGTAATCCTCCCATTCAATAAGGCCTTATTGGGTGAGGAGTCAAGCCCACCTCAAATTCTATCAGATCTTAACATAGATGCAAGAGCTCATGCTTTTAAAGGATGAGAAAAAGCTTCATTTAACAGGTATAAAGTCTTTTCTTTATAAAAGAAAACAAACCAATTAGAACACAAAGATCAATAGCATCAGAAAAGAAGTCAAGGACTTCCATACCTCCTCCAGATTTCTTTGGTATAGATCTGTTCGGTAATATGCAGTTGACATCAACAAATTTGGGTTGTAAGAAGTGAAAAGACTGCATAATAACCATCAGAGCAAATGATGCAGATCTTAGTTTGAAGAATTATAATGACTCAAAGATGTGCTATACAATAGATGCACTACAATCCAAGCACAAGGAAACAGTACTCATAAATGAACCAAAAGGATGCGTGGACACTACATACTGAACATATCATACTCTTAGCGACGCAATTGGTATAAAGTCCAACTTTAATGTACCTGCTCAATGAGGCATTGTCATACATATTCAGCTTCTCAAAGAAAGCAAGGGTATAGTATGTAAAACGATCCACAACAGAAACCCCAACCTGCATAATAAGAAGAGACATTGAATGTAATACCCGAAAGCCTATAAGTTAAACAAGAATATGATAGTTTCAAAAGCTAGCATCCTGGATCTTCATATTTACGGCGTTGATAAAACAAAAAACGCTATCAATTTTACACTTACATCGGAGTCCAAGTGATGTGAGTATGAGTTCTCCCCTTTCTTGCTACTTCCAATAGCCAAAACACCTGGAGAATGAAGCTGTACAATCCAGGAAAAAGAAAAAGTCCATCCAGCATCAAAATACATAAAGCAGATGTTGAAAGTCTCAATGCAAGGTTGAAGACTTAGAATGCCATGTTCATAGGTCCAGGTTAATCAGAAGTGCATCAGTAAAATTCAAAATATGGATTGTCGTGACCCGACCATACGAACAAAGATGCATCTCTTGAAAGTAGAAATGCACAAACAACTGTGAAAAGAAATGACACTAAATAGATGTCCTAGTATATATATAGATTTTCTGGAAAAACTTGAAGGTATTGTGCAGCAAGCAGACCTTGGTTTGACTGGCATACCAATAAACATTAATCACAGCATGGGACATAGATTGTACATACATATAACTATTACAGAAGGGAAACTATACATTTAAGGAAACATCTATACACTGGACAACTATGAAATGTGATTCTAGAATAATCATGGCTAAATCAACTCTACAAAAATAAATAAGATATTATATGCATTAAGATTTTTTCTTGTTAGTACCGTATGCCTATTCATCTAGATAAACGGGTAAACATCATTCCCCCAAAAAAGTAATGTATAACTATGACTAGATAATAAATATTGTGAATTTTATGAAAACCATACCCCATTATTAGAAACATAATACTAACCTGAGAGAAGAGAGTGGCAGCTTGGCAAGTGTCCACCATTATCAGCAACTCCTTGAATCTAATTTATATGGCATGATGAACAACATATTGAGCAGGAATCATATATGACAGCAGTCACCAAAAATTATAACAAATTTTTTACAAAGTTCTATATAGGATTGGTCATAGAAAAAAGTAAACACATACAACATTTATTAATCCCATAACAATTTATAGTTTCAACTTATGCAAGCAATTATCTACTTCCAACCAAAATAAAAATACTTGATGCCACTACAGCCTCTATAGATCCAATTACTTTAAATTTTTATAATTGAAATTTTAATGTTATAGCTGAAAAGCATCAAAGCAGAATATTCTCTCACCTCCTCTTTTCTTTCATTTGTTTCACAGCATCAGCAAGATCATGACTCTGGAGCTCTTCTGAGTCCTGAAATTTTAAAAACTCATCTCCCCCATGCCCAGTCATGTATAGAAGAATATGGCTTCCTTCATCACTTAAAAGACGCTTTGATCTTGGAACAGCAGTCTCGTGACGCCCAGTCAAAACTCTAAAGAAGTTTTCTATCGTTACTTCATAACCCCGATAGTCCACCTGAGTAATTCAAGTTTACTGAAATCAGGGTCCAACAATTATTTAAAACCCTCATCTTATGATTGTTCAGAAGCAAGAACATGTTGCATCTCTACAATACTTAAGGCTCTGGGGAGGAGCATGGAGAATTGCAGTCTTCTATTGGAGAAATTGTATGCATCTTTTTTCTCTTTTCATAAGAAAAAAGGACAATTTTGCATCAAATTTATTTCACATTTTAATCATATTTTGACCATCTATTTTAAAAGTATAATATCCAACTCATAATGATAGTCATTTTCACATAACAGTAATTCTGATTATGAGCATCAGCAAAGTAAATAATATCCTTGATTGACTACTACTCTATGGTGTACAATGAGAGCAGACTTAAAATTATTCAAAACAATTTTTTTCATCTTTAGAGAAGTCACATACCAGTCAAAGAGTTAGAAGGGACAAACTCACCTCAACGTTATCACCATACAAGTTAAGTCTGTGGTTCTCATTGTTGAACACTTGGGCAGGATACTTGTTTCTAGCATTACAAGCCATGTCATCAGCCAGCATAAGTATAATCCTCTCATCTGGTATTCCTAGCCGCTTAACTGTCCTGGAAAACCATGTAAAAGAAAACAGTCTGTTAATAAAGAAAAACAGGATCAACAAATAAATTTAGAAGATGACAGTTTTCAAAACAACAAAAGAAAAGATAAAACCTATTCTTACCTATACAGGGACAATGTATTAGCCATGTGCCGGTAATTAAACCTGAACAATGAAACACCACATCAATTCAACTAGAAATATATCCAATGGTTCAAGTTTCTTGCAAAACCATCACATTCACCTTTACACTAGCAGAAAACAGTGATTCATGAATCCAAACTAAAACAAGCATAATGCAAATCAATTGAAATGCTACTATTCTGGGACATCACAACCAGAATCAACAACTCTTGATACCCTAAAAATTTATCCACAACAGTAATCAAAAGCAGAAATGGAAGAAACTTCAAGAACAAGAACACAATTTTACACCTCCGGAACTGAAATGAAAAACATGGGTATAATTTATAATCAATAGCAACGAAATGGATATGCTTTAATTTCTGAAAATGTGAATCTATACTAAAAATAAATTATCAGAATTAAGTAAAAGAAAAACAAATGAAAGGTGAAAATAATCTAGTTACCAGAAACGAGAAGTGCAAACCAAGACAGCCCAGTTGTTAGTGTGCAGAGTGGTCTCAGCTGAAGCACTGAATGCAATTGAAGTGCAGAGAAGCAAGAACATCAACATCACAGGACTTCTTGAACCCAACGAACCGTACATCTTGGAGCCGTTTATCAATACTAAAATACTTAAACTTTAATTTTGTAGATTCCCAACTGGGTTTGAGATTAATTCAGATTCGATGCGTGTTCAGTATCAATATGTGTTGCAATTGCGAAATGGAGCTTCAGCTCATTTTCTTTGAATTAAATAAAAACAATAAAATCTTTCACAGCTTCTCTTCATCTATGAGACCAGCCTCGTTGCGATGTCATTCGAGAACGTCAATCATCTTAAGATCATAAGACGAGTTTTGCAGGGGAATCTGTTGGTTGTGAAATTTCACATCGAGTGCTATGGAGCGATATTCTTAGTTCTATTGAATTTCAGACGGGTTTAAGGGTGATTTTGTCCTTACGGAAAATATTTTGGTTACTTTAAATTTTACGATTTTTGTGGTCATTTTACTTAAAATGACATGATTTTCATTCTGGGGTGAGAAAAACCGGTTTAATTATTTTTCAAACCGAATCGAAAATCGGTTCAAACAAATCTATATGGAAACCGAATCGAATTGTTTTAATCGGTTTGAATCGAACCGAATAACCGGTTAATCCGGTTTTTAAAAAACAAATTTGCTTGTTATTGAAAATTTGAAATTCAAACTTTTAAGCACATGGGACATATAGGCCAAGGAGATCAACAATGAGAGCCGTCAAATCACTTTCGGAGATAGATGAAAGTAGACTCAAGAAACTGATATTGAAGACCGATTTGCATTGAAGATTAAAAAGCTGCTAAATTTGCCAGTAAATTTACAAGGATGAACTGGTAAATTTATTATTTTAGAGTTAAAAACCAAAAAAAAAAAAAAAAACACGAAAGATAAGGGGATTGAAAGAGTGTTTCGAAGAAGATAAACACGAGTGTGAAAGCAAAGATTGAAAAGGGAAATCATAAAAGCCAACCCTAAAAGCCGATTTTGATTTGAAGCAGCCTAAGATTGAAGAAGTGAATAACGGCGGTGACTTCGACCGTTGGACCAGCCGACGAGCGACGGTGACTTGATGAATACTTCGGGAACTGGTGATCAGAGAGTGAAGGATCTTTGCAGTCAGTCGGCAGCAGCGCAGCAAGCAAAAATGATTTTAAAATATTATTTTAGAAAACCGGTTTATTTGAACCGAAATCAAACCGATAAATCGGTTTTTTCTTAACAAACCTAAATTGAACCGGTTTCAAAAAAGCGAATTTTTGAACCGATTTTTCGATTGATTCGGTTTTCGGGTTTTTTTTCCACCTTGATTTCCACAGTTACATTTAATGTTACAAATAACTTTTAACTCATTCGCGCACTTTCTCTCTCTCTCCTCCACATTCATCAAGCATTTCCAGGTATTCGTCTCTGCACTGTACACTTTGTATAATGAAGTTTTTGCTGTTTTTAATTTTTCTTTTATGGACTGAAATATATTTTGGCTGGCTGAGCATCAAATATTGTAACTTGAGACTGTAAAAGTGTCACATTTTTTTTTTTTTTTTTTTTTTTTCTGGGTTTTGACTGAAGTTGCACGTACATGTTTCTGGGATCATGGCTTGTAGACTTTAAATCATTAACGCATTGTTTGTTTGGTTAGAAGCTTAGAACTGATAATGAAAGAAAACATAAATTATTTTAAAATATACTGATCTCTAGTCGGGGAGAGAAAGTAGGAGAGCTGACGCAGAGGAGACATTGACGATCAGCGAAAGGGAAAGAAACCCCGCTACGAGCATAAAAAGTCATATGCTCATGTTCCTCGTTGCAATCGCGACAAAAACCAATACACTCCGCTGAATGTGTCCATATCTACAATTTTGACCAATCCGAGGAGAGCCAGCCTGCTCGGTGAGCCGGAACCCATGAAAACCCCGCTACGGCCAGAAAACAGCAAAAAAATACTGTCGCTTCCTTTGGGACAATAGGCATCACACCGATGAATGCCGGCTCTAAAGCAAGCAATCGAAGAGCTCATCAAGAAATGACACTTCAAGGAGTATATGATGACCTTACTCCAAAGAAAAGAACCAAGAGGAGAGCAGGGGGAAAAGCGTCGTGATCGCAGAGGGTACAATAGTGTTAACATAATCTTTGGAGGGCCGCACCTCGCGGGAAACACGCGAGGTGCGCAAAAAAGGTACGCTCGCGAAGCACAGCATGACCCGATTAGGGTAATATGACATATCGCAGCAACCACAAAAGGCTCGAAAGGAGGAGCCAATCACCTTCTGCGAAAAGGAGCAGCTCGCCTGCATCATCCTCACGGACGCCCTTGTGATCACGCCCCTCATAGGGCACCATAAAGTCCAAAATGTCATGGACAACGGAAGCGCTGTGAACATTCTATTCCAGACTGCTTTCGAAACAATGAACCTAGACGAGGCGACCTGAAGCCCACCTTGATCCCCTCTATGGCTTTACGGGGACCACTGATCCCCAAAATGACGATCCAACTCTCGGTCACGCTGGGCGACTATGACGAGGTAACTAAGGTAACTGAGTTCTTGGTCGTGGATTGCCCATCCGCCTTCAATGGGACTGGGGCGACCACTACTAAGAAGCTTCAAGACGTCACTTCCATATACCATCTCAAGATGAAGTTCTTACCCCAATGAGGATAGGGGAAGTGAGCGGATCGCAAAGCGTATCCGCGACTGCTACATAAAAGCGGTGAGATGGCGAGTAAAGGAAAGGGCATTCCATGAAGTGCGCTCCGACAGGCTATGGCGATCAGCAAGATCGAGCCGTTGCCTGGCCAGCAGAGGAAATATGGATCCTCGAATTCAGGAAATCTCTTCCAGCGGCCAAGTGGGGACTTGTCTGAAGTATCAGTCGACCCGAAAGAGCCAAGCCAAGTGTTAAGGATTGGGAGCAGCCTCGACCCTTAACTTGCGTCCGAACTGAATGCCTCTTAGAGAAGCAAAAGTGAGTGTTTGCCTGGTCGCATGTAGTATGTCGGGATCAGCCCGAACATTATTTGTCATGCATTAAACGTCGACAACGCAGGCCAAGCCAATTTGCTAGAAAAGAAGAGCAATGGATCGGAGCGGTATGCTGCATTAAAATCAGAAGTGGAAAACATCCTTCGAATGGGTCCATCGAGAGACACTCTACCGACCTGGGTTGCCAATCCGGTCTGGTAAAGAAGTCAAATGGCAAGTGGCGAACTGGGTTGATTTCAATGACCTCAACAAGGCTTGCGCGAAAGACAACTTCCTTCTGTCAAGAAATGACCAGCTTGTGGATGTCATCTCGGGGCACGAGCGCTAAGTTTCTGGATGCATACTCGGGATACAATCAGATCCCGATGTATGGGCCAGACAAGGAGCATACGTTCTCTTACAGACCGAGGGTTGTATTGTTACAAAGTTATGCTTTCGGCCTCAAGAATGCTGGCGCAACCTACCAGCGGCTGGTTAACTGAATGTTCTCCGACCAGATCAGAAAAACAATGGAGGTCTATGTGGATGACATGCTGGTCAAATCCAGGTCGTCTTAGAACACATTGCGCATCTCGTTGAGATGTTTGACATCCTCTGACTATACAGAATGAAGCTGAATCCCCTCAAGTGTTCATTCGGGGTATCGTCAAGAAAGTTCTTAGGGTACATAGTTAATCAGCGAGGGATAGAAATAAACCTCGAGAAGATTCAAGCTCTGCTCGATAGGAGAGCCCAACCAGCAAAAAACAGGTCATATGTCTAAATGGGCGAATAGCAGACTTAGGCGCTTCATATCAAGCAACAGATCGCTGCCTACCATTCTTCAACGTACTAAAGGCCAACAAGAAGTTCGAGTGGACACCCGAGTGTGAACAAGCGTTCCAAAGCATAAAAGAGCACCTCGGAAAACCACCCCTCCTGTCCAAGCCTTTTCCAAAAGAAATCCTGCTCCTCTACCTGTCCGTTCCTCAGTTCGCGGGTAGTGCAGCTAGTATGGGAAGAGGAAAAGGCACAATGGCCAGTGTATTATGCGAGCAAGCGTTTGACGGATGCTGAGATGCGGTATCCAGAAATGGACGGACTAGCCTATGCCCTGCTGATCGCTTCCAGAAAGCTGCGACCTTAATTCCATGCCCATAACATACATGTGATGACCAGTTACCCCCTCAGGCAAGTCCTTCAGAAGCCAAAAGTCGGGTAAATTACTTAAATGGGTAATGAAATTAAGTCAGTTCGACCTGAAGTACAAGCCAAAATTGACTATCAAGGGGCAGGCTGTTGCTGACTTATCTCAGAATTTTTCTATCTTCCAAGCGAGCAACAGCCGGCGAGGCCATCCAGGAAAGTATTCAGAACCTGTCGACCTGGAGCCTACGTTGACAGGTCATCAAACAGGAAAAGGGCCGATGCGGGTCTTCTCCTTGTAAGCCCGAAGGGGCTCGAATTCATGGCATTCTCCGGTTCGGATTTTAAGCGACCAACAATGAGGCGAGTACGAAGCCCTGTTCGCCGGGTTACGATTGGCCAAAGATGGGTGCAACCGCGATTAGTGTCTACACGATTCCATGCTGGTCGTCAACCAAATTTGGGGGAATATCAAGCCAAGGAAGAAAACATGGCCGCTATCTGAAAGAAGCTAAGGCCGTTCTCGGGCGTTCAAACACTTTGAAATCACTCAGATTCCCAGAGATAGCAATTCTATAGCGGAAGCTCTGGCAAAGATAGCCTCGTCATTGGATTTAGAAGCTCCAGATAGCATTCCTGTTCGGTTCGTCGATGCTCCGACTATCAGTTAACGAACAGACCGTGAATGTGATGCAACCGGATTCTTGGATGACTCCCATTTTCCAGTACTCAAGGATGGGACCTTGCCAGATGACAAGGGCGAGGCAAGGGTCTTGCAAACAAGATCTGACGTTACACACTCATCGGGGACCAGCATATAGGAGAGGATTCAGTGTCCCTCTCCTCCGATGTGTAACAGTGAAGAAGCAGACTACATCATGAGGAAAATTCACGAAGGGATCTGCGGTAATCACACAGCTGCTCGATCTCTTGCGAACAAGGTTGTTTTTCAATGGTAATATTGGCCTCGGATCCAAGAAGATACGCACAATTTTATCAAGAGGTGTGACAGGTGGCAGCGGTCGCGAACATTCCGCGAGCCCCTCTCACGAGCTGATAACGATGTCTACTCTGACCATTTTCCATGTGGGGGATCGACCTATCAGTCCCATGCCAGTCGGAAAATAGGGGTTAAGTATTGTGTGTGGTCGCGGTAAACTATCACAAAATGGGTGGAAGCTGAAATACTGGCCGCGATCACGACCAGAAAGCTGAAAGACTTCGTTTCCAAGAATAAGTGTGTCGCTATGGAATTCCTCACACCCTCATCTCGGATAATGGAAAGCAATTCGACAACGAGGAGTTCAAGCAGTTCTACGACGAGCTAGGCATCCATAAAAAATTTGCCTCAGTCGCAGACCGCAAGCAAATGGCCAAGTTGAAGGTCAACAACACACAAGCATAAAGGCCAAACTTGGGGCAGCCAAGGGAAATTGGGCCGACAGTCTCCCGAAGTCTTATGGGCATACAAGACAACTCCAAGAACTTCCACCTCAGAAACCTCCTTTTCGCTAGCCTATGGCTGCGAAGCAATGATTCCTGTGAAGTAGGAACTGGTTCTTCCAAAGAGACTTGTACGATGAGGTTGAAAACGAAGCACTTATGAGAGCGAGTCTAGATCTTGTTGAAGAGCACCACAGTAAGGCTTTGTAAGGATAGCAGCCTACAGCAACGTGCGAAAGAGGTTCTTCGATTCAAAGGTCAGCGAAGAGACTTCCAAGTCGGTGACCTTGTGCTAAAAAAAGTTTCCTCGGAATCAGGGAGCAAGCGCGGGGGGGATTAGGACTGAACTAGGAAGGTCCGTACTGGGTCGACAAGGTGATCAGAACGAGAACTTACTATCTCAAAAGGCTGAACGGTTAAAGTACCCCGAGCTTGGAATGTCGGCACCTCCGGCCATACTATCAGTAATCCGAACTTAGCTCTCATTGTAAATTAGGTTTGGTTTTGTTAGTTTCCTTTTTCTTGTAAGATATATCTTGTTCGCTTGTAACAATTCGCGTGGATATTGCCTATGTAAACAAACTGGACTGTAAACTGCACTCATGTATGATTACCGAACAACAATTGAAAGCAAATTGTATTTCATTTATGTACAACAAAAACTGTTAGACCCTATTAATTCCCAGAGTCGGTCTCATGCATTATGCCTGGTCGATGGGGTGATTCTTCAAAGCAGGACCAAACCCTTGTGGTCGGATCCTCGGGTGGCTGTACTGCTTGATCATCTTCTGTCGCCAAGGTCTGCAAGGCTTCCTGCCACTCCCTCGGGAGGTCGGACATATCAG